CTTGATGTATTTTGGGCAGGTTTACACTGTGTGCCTTACAACAGTTTTAGTACACAGTCAGTAGAGATAAGTGGGAGGTGGCTGGAAGTCAACCTCTAACAAATTGCCGACATCCAAGCTGAGCCACAAGCATTCCATGTGATTGATTTGGTCGTCTCTTGTGAATGGAAAAACTTGCTGTCACCGGAACTCTACTGCCCTGTCAAGTTCCAGCAATGAATTCTGTTATTTTAATTTACCCTCACAATAAAGGGCAGCTTATTCAAAAATAGTTCCTTTTCATACTACACATCTTTTATGAATGCTATTCACTCTCCCTTAAGACATAATTTATAACAGCTCAATTAATATACAGCTCAATTAATATACCAGTACTTAGAGAATAAGTGTCAAACTGTTCGTTCCTAAGAGGACACTTCATACAACACAACTAGATTGCTGTGACAATAGAAATGTGCGAAACTCTTCCCTTCATTTATGATGAATGACCTGTTTCTACATTCTACAGATATTCTTTAAAAATCAAATGTTCAGTTTTTAAAATCAGCAAGATTTAAAATGTTTCCAACTGATGATTTATGAATATAAGCATTATTGGGTTTTTTTTTCATATTTGTAACTGGCATAATTATTCAGCAGCACCACCTTTTCCACAACAGTCCTATCACATCTCCCTTTGCCACTTACAATCCTAATGTTAATGCCTGCCCTTTCGTGTAATTCATGTGATTTCTGCAATATATTTCCTTATAGATTACATATTTATCCTCTGAAAATGTATATCCTAACTGGAATGATTAAAAAAACCCAATTCTATATTCACCTGCATTGATAAATAAGTCAGCTGGAACCAAATACACTATTTCTACAAAAATGTGACGTGTCACGACGTATCATGACTTTTTTTCCATTGCTGGCAATGGGGTGGGTGCGGTTTCAGCATAACACATTTGGTCTGTGGGCTGGCAGTTTGACACACCTGCTCTAGAGGTTTTTAGGATTACACTCCAGTCAATATAATATTTTGTGCCTTTGAGTCAGTTTTTGATCCTTGGTGAGTGCTTGGACATGTCCCTGCAGTTTTCTCAGAAAGATTTTGGAAGAGGTTTGCCATTGCCTGCTTCCTAGGGCTAACAGAGAGTAAGTGGCCCATTTGGCTTTGTTCCAGAACTAAAACTCATGGTCTCTGGATTTCAATATGCTACAATGCAAAGGATGAAAAAACCCAGTACAGAGACACTATTTTAAGTAGATAATTTCACAGGTTAGAATTATTTCAGGGTGCACCACTATCTGTCATAAACGTTATATAACTATAGTTTTAAGGAAAAGTGCTAAACCATCCAGTTTGTGCCTTTTTGCCCATATTGCAAAAATTAAATAAATAAATAAAATAAATAAAATAAATAAAATAAATTGCTGACTGTGCTTTCTTTAGGTAATTGAAGATTTCAGCAGGAAAAGAGCCAAATTTGATTAAGTGTTCAAGTCATTACAGAATGGTAATCAATGAAAGCTCATTATGTCACATTTTTAATGGCACCAGGTGGGCATAAGAGTTCTTAATCAGTTGCTTTGGCACAAGTGTGTTTGTCCAGTGCCAGATCTATGGAAACTGCCTTGATTTGACAGTGCGATGTCAGTAGAATAAATTATAGTCAGCGACATGCTATCAGAGACACATCATTTCACATTAGGTATGATTTAATATGTTATTCTACTAATACATTATGACTGTGTCTAATAATAAAAACAACCTTCACTTGCCAATTGAAATAGTATTTTGCAGTTCACTTTGTGTTTATTCTATTATCATGTAGTATAAACATTCTAAATTTAAAAATTTCAGTTTTCAAGTCCACATTGTTACTATACTTATGGAGTGATTGAATTATCAGAAATATATTTTTATGAAAGCAATGTAATTAGTACTATAGGAACATTTAATGAGGGAAGGATTTATATGTGTTTTTAAATACTGAAACATCTACCTTATTTTAGGCAAAATGATACACTCAAAAACTAGTATTTCCTTTATCCACCTAACATGAATGGATAAATTGTTTCTCAAAAGTTCTACAAATAAAAACAATTATTCTTCAATATGCTTGACAAGCTTTAAAAGTTCAGCATAAGTAATGGTTTCGAATTCTAAAGATGGTAAATCTTTAAAAGATTGTTCTTGAGAAACATTGAGTTACTGATGACTAATGAAACATATGCAATTTTACTGGAGAATATTTGTATGCGGTTTGCCACCTTCTTCAGTCTGTGTTGTTGTTGTTTCAAATTCTCAGTCTAGCCCAGTGATGGCGAACCTTTTAGAGACTGAGTGCCCAAACTGCAACCCAAAACCCACTTATGCATCATCGAGTGCCGGGTGGGCGTGGCCCATTGGGTGGGCGTGGCTACAGTGGTAACACAACTGGATGGGACTAAAAAGTTTAATCAATCAATTCCAACTTTGCAAGGTCTTTTTTTTCTGCGAGAAGTTGAAATTGACTGATTGAACTTTTTTTTTTTTTTGCACATGGCGGCGGAGGCCTAAAGCGAAAAGGTTTTATAAAACCCAACTGAAGGCCTAGGACTGGGGCGACGGCGCGCGTGCCCACAGAGAGGGCTCTGAGTGCCGCCTCTGGCACCCGTGCCATAGGTTCGCCATCACTGGTCTAGCCTAAGAGACACTATTTCCTGATAATCTCTCAGAAGTCCTACCCAGGCCTAACTGTGTTTAGCTTCTGAGGTAAGACAGATGCTTCTAATTTTTGGGCACAAAAATAGATAGTATGATAAAGATACACATAGAATGAGAAGTGGTCTCTGGAAATGATTAGATTGTTCTCCTAGTACTAGGGAGAACATTTAGCTTGAAGTCATTGGATGACTTGATCTTGCATGATAACCTACTTTACGGGTTTGATATCAAGATAATACTGGAATTGGGGAGTATAATGCTGGTTGCCTTAAACTTTTACAGGAAAACATTGTATTATGCAAAGCTAATAATGGAGACAATCAAACATCAATGTATTCTTTTAACTTCCACTTTTTATATCAACTAAGTGCAAGTTTTCAGGGAGACTTCTGAATATATTGGCATCATGGTTTGTATTTCTAGCAGATATAATACAACAGAAATTTGTATTTTATATTTTTGCTTTTACTTGTTTTATTTGTTGTTGTTCACTGCCCAGAGTTGCCTCCAGGGAGATGAGTGTCTATGTACATTTGGTGAATAAATAAATTATAAATAGTGAATCATGTTAACACTGACCAAACTTATAAAGTTGTGCAAATATAGCTTCTAGGTCTTTAGCAGCTAATTAATCTATTTTGTGAAAACACAAGTACCAAGGACACCCAAATTCATCCATCCATCCATCCATCCATCCATCCATCCATCCATCCATCCATCTATCTATCTATCTATCTATCTATCTATCTATCTATCTATCTATCTATCTATCTATCTATCTATCTACAACATTTAACCTAATTGATCAATAACCCAGCCATAGCTCCATACTATTGAACTTGGCAGCAGATATTCACACTAACCAGGTCAAACGCTGCCATTTTAAGAGATACATCATCTCTACTCGTTTAGGGCAATCTGCCCAATATCCCATTAATATTACACCAGAAGAGCAGCAGGGAGAGTTTATTAGATCAGTGTCCTTTTCCCATTGCCAGCCAAGCAATGATGGACAAGTTTTACAGGCAATCAAAATTTTGAAAGTATATTTTATGACTGATGTAATTACTCTTTTGTGACAGAGCACTTTGTAATTGCTTGCTCCCTCTGCCTTTTTTTCCCTTTAGAGAATTGCTTAGGAAGGACACTGACACTACTCCATTGTTGACTGAATGTATCAGGTTCATATGACTGCTGAGAGAGAATAATGTGACCAACAGTTTGGATTAAAGCTGGTCCTTTCCTTCCCCTCACTGACTGCTTTATTAACAGGGTTTTATTAACCTGATTAAGTCAAACCCATTATACTCTATACCTGCACTGCCTTAAAAGTCATTTAATTTTTCTCATTAAGTTGAATGAAACTGATGTTTAATCAACTGAATCTGCTTCTCACAAAACTCTTTTTTTTAGTTTAGCCAATTTATAACAGACCTGGATTGTTGAAATGTTAAGTATTTTTAAGAGCAGTCTTAAACATGCTATTGACCAGCTGCATTAAATTAAGAATATTACTTTTATAGCTAATAAAAATGTCCCTTATTCAAATAAATGTGTTACACTTTGCTGATGGTTAAGTGGTGACACAGAATTCCTGCTAATTTCCTACTTTTGACGCATTTTAGTATTACCCGATATACAGTTTTCACAGCACAAAGTAACCTGACCCTTTCAGATCCAATGTCTTTTTATTCAAACATTAGTACATAAAGTAACCTACTTACAAAAATGCTACCAATTTTGGTAGCTCTAGCATAAGTTCTACATCTTGCAATGAATATTCTGTCTTTGGCAAAACAAAAGTAAGCACTTTCCAATTTTTCCCAGAGAAAATATTTTGCATTTGAATTTCCATCAAAAATTATTACTTGTGATTTTTATTCTTTATTAATTAAACATTCAGTCAGGATAATACAGGAAAAATGGAGTAGACAAATGAAAAAGAAGAACATTGATTGAAGGATTGGAATTCATGATTTGTCAATGTTACATTCCAACATTCCACAAATAACAGAACTTTGGAGAATAAGAGCCAGAACTTAAAGGAACTTCTACCATTGTTTTTATTCAAAATACAGAATGCAAATACCCCCTCCCCCAAGAATAATTATTTTTGAATATTGGGAGTAATTGGAAGTGTGTTTGTATTTACAATAATGAGGAAATACAGAATGAGGAAGCAGCATATTCCATTACTTAAATGAGCAGCGTACATTCTTTAGAATTTAGTCTCTGGCCTACAGCAGCAAAATTCAAAATAATTAACCCATGGAGCAATCATTTTACTTCCTCAGCACCATGGAAAATGTCAGTATCACTGGCTGATAACTCTATAGCTGTAGAGGATATTGGTACGTTTGCAAAGTTGCTGGTGATAGTGCCTTCCTCAATCTTGGTTTATAAAGGCTAGAAGGTGTCTTACCTTATTTGCAAAGCAGCTTTTGGCTGCCTTTTGAATTTGATGTTGCAATCCACTGAGTGATCAAGTTCAAATACTTTGTCTGCCAAAAGATTCCCCAGCTGTAGGATCTCAGAGGACATTTTAAACAATTGGAACATTTCTTGAAAGGAACAACCTGTCTAATATAAATAAGGACAGATCACCAGGTTTGAATCATCTGCAGAAGGTAAAAAAAAAACCCTTACTCAATGTCAGATCAGGCAGGAACAATTCTTCTGCTTCATTTTTTATATCACCTATGTTCCTCACAAAATAAACTATTAAATAACTTATCACACAAATCTGAATTTGACATTTCCTTGCTATTTCTTCTTTCTAAAACCTTGAAACCTGACAATTTGCACTGCCATTCATCCCTCCTCCCCCAGAAGCCACATTCCAGAGATGCTAGAGATGAGGCAAGCAATGGATCTATTGGATCAGTTTTACTACAACAACAAGGTCCATGTGTCAGGACTCTTAACTGATGAACTCCAGCGAACCCCAGAAATCGATTCTTTTCCTTTCATTGTGATTGAAGAACCATTGTTTCATTTAATGTATATATATTACAACCTTTCTATGACATAACATAATGTATATGTTTCATTTAATAATATATATTACAACCTTTCTATGACATAACAATACAGGACATGGCAATTCTGGGGGCCAACTATAAGAACACTTATCAAAGATGATGTATCATCTTGTTATCCCTGTTTTTGGGCCAAAGCTTTCACCAATAAACCAATTTTTCTGGTTTATTGTCTTTGTCTGAATCTTCCAAGTGTGACTGGTCCATTGAACTTGGCAATGATGGAGTTGATGTACTGGATGTTGGTTTAGTTTAAAAAGAGGAAGAAGAATGCATTTGAATCCTGGGAGGGTAGAAAGTATAGGAAGGAAACTGAAACAACTTTGCCTTGATTGAGTTAAGTTGTAGCAGAAACAGGCTTTGATGGGCTTTCAAGACCCAGTTCCAATACCTTAACCACATTAAAATAGATTTCTAGAAACTGCTATTTCTTTCTTATCTTGAATAGCTAATAATACCTGACATAACTTTCTGAAGCTTGGAATAATCATTTAAATAGAATATAGAACTGTGTACTACAATAAATGACTGAATTGAAACATTCAATGAAACCAATTGTTTTGTGAAAAATATAAGAAAATTAATGTTATATCTTTATGCAGTAATATTTCTACCACTTATACGGTTGAGCCACTTCAATCCTAAACCTGCTTGATAGGATGTCTTATTTTATTTTAGTTTATTGTTTATTGCTAAAGCCACTTTCAAAAAAACTATATGGTATAGTAATGCAATTACATTAAAATTACAAAAGCCTACATAACTAGAATATGAAACTACTATACAGAACAAAACTATTTTGTTATTCCCATAGGGTGATGTTATATTTTATGTACACATAATTAATATTTCTGTGGGTAAAACTTATTAAAAAATTAAGTCTGCTTCTGTTGAATAACTTGACCTGGACTATACTTAACATAAAAAAAAACCTGCTTGATTAAAATGTTAATGTCATAGAATAGTATAAAATATAACGTATGCAAAGTAAATGGCAGAAATTCTCTCATGGTTGAGATATAAAACAAATTTTCTTCTCCACAAAGGTATCATATATAAAAAGATAATTTTATTTTGATTAATGATCTGCTTAAAGCAAGATATGCCAAAATGTAGCTATGCAGATATAAAATGCTTAGGTACCAATAAAATAGCGCAGCATTTTTGTCTATTAACAGTAAGTCTGTGAACTAAAATGTATACTTAAAATTAGATAAGAGAAAGATTAACTATAAGCCATTATATGTGACTTATAAAACTATATTCTCCATTTATAGTGCAGTAAATTCATAGGAAAAGATAAATCATACTATAGAATCAAAGTATCTACAATATTGAAAGTAAACTGCAATTAATAATTTATTGATGCATAACAATCTTTACATACATAGACCAGAGGCCAGTTATTTCCAGCTGTGGGAATTTTTCTAAATGTCTTATACATTCCATGCACTCCTATGCTGCTTGGTAAATAAAGTCTGTCAACATCATTGCATGGATGAAGGCCATGACTCATTGTCACTCTTTTCTAGCTTTCCTATCAGGGGCTATTGTTCTGTCTTGAGTCTTGTCCACTATCCTATCTGTGTATCTAATGACTGGAATTACCCAAGTGTTAATTGTCTTGATGGTGTTTCTTCCATTGAGTTTGAATTTTAAATTTTTCTTCACTCTCATGAAGAATTCACTTCTAACCTTCTTCTTGACTATTGTGTGCTTGATGCTGCCAAGTTATAGATGTCCAAGTATTGGTAGTAATCGTCTTCATTAAGATTCTTGATGTTATCTCCATAGGGCATCTTAATTCCTTTAGTTTTCACTTTGTTTGTTGCCTTGTTGATGGGGAAGATGGTAGATTTGTCCAGTCCAAACTCTATTGCAATATCTTGACTGCATATACCGAAAATGTTGAGCAAGTCTGGAACATTGTGTGAGGTGGAGGTGGGGTTGGGAAAGCTGCATGCAGTGTGTGTGTGTGTGTGTGTGTGTGTGTGTGCAACAGATCCCATGAAGGTATAGGAAGGTACGTGAGGGGTGGGTGAGTCAGGAAGAGTGCATGAGGGTGCCTAAGAGGGTCAGGTAAAAGGTCACAGTGGAGCTGCATGAGTTAGGAAAAGTGCATTGAGGTGAAAAAAAATGTTGTGTAAGTCAGGGGAGGTCAGTAGGTGGCTGGCATAGGGTATAATGTGGTGGGCAAGAAACATTACATGGCTTAGGGAAGGCATGCAGGAAGCAAGTAAATAGGGAGGGAATGTGTAGGAATGGCATTGGCCAGGAAAAGTATGCTGAATTCCTTTCTCCTTGTTCTTCCCTGCCTCATTCCTCCCTTCCCTCCCCTCCTCTTCCCTTCAGCCCAGTGTCTGAGAAACTGTCAGTAAACATTGAAAATGAAGATAACATGCCCAAATCAACATAATAGCAGCAGCCACAATTTCTCCAAATTTCATTTCCTTGGGAATCATCAGTCCTGAATTTTGGACTCATTCTGAAAGTTGAGATTCCCTGTTTAAAAAAACTGTTGTCCTGCACTATTTTACCCAGTTAAAGGTTATTCTGAGAGTTTTATCAGTATATAGCTCTCTGGGTTGTTTAAAATTTTGGGAAAAGAAATGCACACTTTTTATTTCACTTAACACTTGTGGAAAGCCCCCGTGCAATCTTAGATTGTTCAACTTTAAGGGAGTGGGACATCTGAAGAGTAGTGAGAAATGATTGGTGTACAGGCAGTGCAGTTGTTGCATACTGCATAAGATTCTCCTATCACAGTGATGGCGAACCTTTTAGAGACCGAGTGCCCAAACTGCAACCCAAAACCCACTTATGCATCGTCGAGTGCCGGGTGGGTGTGGCCAATTGGATGGGTGTGGCCCATTGGCTGGGTGTGGCTGCGGTGGTAACGGCAGACTGGGTGGGACTAAAAAGTTCAATCAATTCCAACTTTGCAAGATCTTTTTTTTCCCCGCGAAATTGACTGATTGAACCTTTTTTTTTTTTTGCACATGGTGGCGGAGGGCTAAAGTGAAAAGGTTTTATAAAACCCAGCTGAAGGCCTAGGACTGGGGCAACGGCGCGGGTGCCCACAGAGACGGCTCTGAGTGCCACCTCTGGCACCCGTGCCATAGGTTCGCCACCACTGTCCTATCAGCTCTAGAACTTAGGAAGCACATGGATTTTTTAAACGAATATATAACTTAGCTCTGAGAAAGTAGACACATTAGACACATTTCTACAAAAACTTGTAATAGTGAATGTATTTTATATATGGATATAAAGTGGTAGACAGGTTAAGCTGCTGCTTTGATCAAATCACATTCTTGGGAACAGAAGTCCTCCTTAAACACTATCTTTCTACACTCAGCTGAACATTCCAGCAGTAGAAAGCACCGTCCATTTGTAAAGCTGTGTTGTGATGTATGTAAATAGCAGCTGTCACTGAGTAAAGTGCAGATGTCTGCAACAGGAAACCTTTGTGTGCTTCACTAATGAGAGTTCGAGGTCTTTTGGAAGCCTGCATGTACAGTATATATGAAAGCTCTATGTTGCAGACTGTGTCTATAAGCAGCAAGATGTTCACTAACAATGCAGTTTGATTTTACAGAAGATAATGGCTGCTGAGTAGTTATTTTCAGTAATACTTGGTACCTCCCAGGAAGATTGCTGATTCAGAGTCTGTGGAAAAGGTTTACTGTTTCTCAGTTTTATGTGTTGGCTATGTCTTTATCTCCACCTATCCTGTTCAGTTTTCATATTTCCTCTTCCAATCATTCCATCCTTCTGTCCTTCTTTTCCTTGCTGGAAAATTGAGCCCAATTTTTATTTTACCAAGTCCCATAGATCAGTGGTTCTCAACCTTTTTAATGCCGCGACCCCAACCGGTCATAAGTCGAGGACTAAACTGGTTGTAAGTCAAGGACTAAACCGGTTGTAAGTCGAGGACTACCCAACCGGTCGTAAGTCGAGGACTTTCCCTGCCCGGGAGTGCCACGCATGCGTGGTTCCGCCCCCTGTGCCGGCCGAGGCATAGCTGGCAAGTGGCAGAGACGGAGCAGGCCGACCACCAGCTGGCCCAGCCCAAGGGAGGTAAGGCACCCGCCGGAAAAGGGGAAAAAATGGCGGACAAAAAAAATGGCGGACAAAAAAAATGGTGGACAGCCTTGCTTGGCGACCCCCGTGAAATGGTTGATCGACCCCAAATGGGGTCCCGACCCACAGGTTGAGAACCACTGCCATAGATGGAGAGTATATAGTAAGAATATCATGCTAATGTATGATACCAGTCACAACTTAATCCTTGGTCAAACGCTGTGTATTAT